AGGATGAAGCCGGGTTTGCATAGCGACCGGTTTTGAAGGATTTAGGATTTAATAATTATAGAGATTAGAGATTTAAAGGTTCTAACAGGGCAAGGCCAGGAATACCTACCTGCATAGGCACTCACCTGCGGTGGCTATCAATCCCCCCCGCATCTCCACCCCCACATAAAGATCATCTCTCCTCTCATGTTATACCGTGGCTGTAGCATAGCATAGCATACCATAGCAAGCGTGGCTCGATCCAGGAGTGCGCCTGGGAGCAAGCGCTTAGCAAAGAGGCGGCGGCCGCGCGCGTGTGCACTTTGTTGTATTTTTTGCAATGGAATATGAGCATGGGCACGTTCGCCGTGCGCTCAAAAGTTGTTGGTGACGCCCCGATTTACAAGAATGTTGCAAAACCCATTGGTTTTTCAATGATTCAGGATGCACGCGGAGGGCGATCCTGCACAATTGTGGTATGAGAAAATCATATGTGTTCATATGCTTTGCTGATATCGCTTCTGAGAGAAAAAACATTGAAAACACATTGTGTTTCAAAGGATTTCGCCATGATCGCGCGGCTACCACGCGCGCGTGTGCACTCTGTCGTATTTTTGCTGCAATGGATTATTAACATGGACACATCTTGCAAGAGCAAAATGTTGAGTTTATTTGATTTTTTATCATGGAAAGTACACATCATAAGCGCGGAATGATCAGGATGTAATATTTGTTGCAAGGGATGGAGCATGTTGAAAAGGCAGAATGTTAAGTTTATAATATTTTTACAATATAAAACTCCGGTTTACATGGGGGCCCGCGACCCGGACCGGCCACTTTGTATTGTAAAAAATCGGGCTTTCTGATCGCATGATCAGGAAATAATACTTTTTGCATAGGATGGAGGGGGGGTTGCATAGCGGCCGGTTTTGAAGGGTTTAGGGTTTAATAATTATAGAGATTAGAGATTTAGGGTCTAACAGGCGTGGCCACGATTACAACTTGCCCACGAACCCACCTGCGGTGGCCGTCAATCCCACCCGCAAGCCACCCCACCATAAAGATCATCTCTCCTCTCCTTGTAACAACATCGGCCGCAGCGAGTGCAACGTCGACGACGGCGACGACGACGACGGCGACGACGGATGTGCGATCCAGTGGGCACGCGAGTGCTCGAACGGCTCAGGGGGTCGCAGTTTCTATTGTAAAATACAAGGGATTCTGCACGCATGCTCAGGATGGAGCATGCGCAGGATCAGGAAATGCTATTTTTTGCAGTAGATGGAAAGGGTTTACATAAGCGGATCGCAACGGGGACCGCCCACTTTGTGCTGTAAAAAATAAGAAATTCTGCACGCATGCGCAGACAATACTATTTTTTGCAGTAGATGGGGCCGGGTCGCGACGGGAAGGGCACTTTGTGCTGTAAAAAATAGGAAATTCTGCACGCATGCTTAGAAAATGCTATTTTTGCCGTAGATGGAGCGGGTTTGCATGGTGACCGCTTTTAGGTCGTTCAGGGTTTAATAATTATGGGATTAAGAATTTATGGGTTTAGGGTTCATGCGTTTAGCTGCCTACGAGCTTCCGCAGCGGCACGTTCTGGCCGCCCACCTCAAGCCGCGGGCCGGCGTGCAGCTGGCGCCCCAGCGCCTGCCACCGCCGACGGCACGCGCCTTGCCGCCTCGGCCCCGCGCGCGGCCCCTGGGCAGGGGCCGCTGCAGGCTGGTATGGCTTGAGAGGAGGAGGAGGAGGAGGAGGAGGAGGAGGAGGAGGAGGAGGAGGAGGGAGGAGGAGGAGGAGGAGGAGGAGGAGGAGGAGGAGGAGGAGGAGGAGGAGGAGGAGAGGAGGAGGAGGAGGAGGAGGAGGAGGAGGAGGAGGAGGAGCAGGAGGAGGGGTCGCCTAAGCCCTCCGGAGAAACCCTCGACCCTCTCCCTATTCCACTCGTCTGACCCGAGAATACGTCCCGACTCCGAGGTCATCGCTGCAGGGGCACCGCTCCTCGGCGGCCGCCGAGGTTCCGCCTGCCGGGATTGACAGACTGGAAATTGAGTTCAATCTGGGACTTCCCACTTTCCAGGTTGAAGACGGGGAATTGAACATCGCTCCGTGGCGTTCTGGAGTGAAACATGAAAGACTCCTGGGGCGTTCCCTGTTTCATCTGTCAGTTCTCATCCCTTGGCCCTTCGAGTTGGAGTATAGAAAAAAAGTGCTTTCTCAATATGTCAATTCTCAATTTGGGGCTCTCCCGGTGGCTCCTTGGAGCCTTCCGAGGGCAGGATCGCAGCGGGCGCCCAGGCGAGAGCGCCCTGCCGCATCGGCCGAAGGCGCTCGGAGGGGAACAGCGACCAAAAGGAACCTCCGCATGTTCCACAAGCAGAGGAAAGAGAACTATGCACATACACCGATTCTGGCCAGGCCCACCCTGAGCCCAGGATCGGTGCATACGCCCTCCTACCCTGGCCAGGAAGGCATATGCACCGATCCCGGGCCCAGGATGGGCCAGGCCAAGATCGGTGCATGTGCACAGTTCTCTTCGCCCGAACAAGGGGGTGGACAGAACCCCCTTTAGTAAAACGTGGTTTAGTGAAAACGACCTCGGGCCCAAACCTGGCGGGCGCCAGCCTGGAAAATGACGGCCGCGGCGCCCTCTCGAGAGCCGAAAACGGACAATTCACTAATCGACGTGTCAGGGTGGGGGTTCTGTCCAGCCCCGATCCACAAGGGGGGCGGATACCGCGCGCACGCCACCAGGAGGCATAGGAGAGAGGCATTCGTAAGGAATGCTCCTGCAGGAGAAAAGGGCGACGGTAGCGAGGGCGGCGGCGACTTTCGGGAAACGGAAAGTGACATTTAACTCGGAGGTCCGCGCGGATTTCTCGGATCCGCGCTGAACCCCCCTGGCGGCGCCTCCGGCGCCGCCCCTGGCGCGCTCCGCGCGCCAGGGAGGGGGGTCCAGCGCGGATCCGAGAAATCCGCGCGGACCTCCGAGTTTTTTTGTTTATGTCACTTTTTGTTCCCCTAGACTTGGGGAAGAGGGAAATCGCATAGAGGGTGGATGAGCTTGGACGTGCCCGAAGCTTGCAAGGAGCCCGTGCCAAGATCCGGGCTCCCGCTGCGGGACCATCGGCCCGGACCCGAGGCGCGATATCTGCTATTCTTAAGTCGGGCGTGTCCCCTTACAAGGGGATTTTCGACGAAAAATGAAAAATACACCAAAAATAATCAAAAAATAATCCAAAAATAGTCGAGGGACTATTTTTTTTGTATTGTTCGACCTTTTGGGAATATTTTTTATGTATGTGTTATTTCTCCTCGAACATCCCCCTGTAGGGGGACAGGCCCGACTTAATGCTATTCCCAACGCGCGCCCCCAGTAATGTCGACACGCTCCCGGGGGATCGTCTCAAGATCGGTGGATCGCCACTGCAATCGCGAGGGGGAGGAGGGCAGGAGGATTAGGCCGGGCATGTCCCCCTACAGGCGGATTTTGGGCTAAATGCCCCCAAAATATTCCAAAAATGCTCAAACATACTCAAACCATCGTCCCCAGACTATTCTTTTAACTATGTTTGAATAGTCCTCCTGTAGAGGGACAGTCCCGACTTACCACGAGGAGGGAGGAGCACCATTGGGACACGAGCTGGGAGATACACCACCGGCATCGCGAGGAGGAGGGCGCACGATCCAGGAGCCTTCAAGCGTCGGATGGCGCCGGACAGCGGTCACAAGCCTTCCAGCAGGGTTCGAGCTGAACAGTGTGTCGTTTTGTTGTTGTTTTCCCCCGTTCTGTCGTCGTGCCACCTTTGCTGCAAAACGACATCAAAACGATAAACAGCCCACGAAATCGCCAAAGCACCGTTTAGCTCGAACCCTGCTTTCCAGATATCGTCCGACAACGTCCCGCGACGCTCCAGGATCACGAGCGAAACTGGTTCACACTGCGGTCGTCTCCGCAGTCGCTGGACCATCGGCCGAGGCCGTGGTCGCAATGATGCCCGCGGTCGCGGCACCGATCGTTGTCGCGTTCATATCCGTGGGCGCGGCGTTACACCCACGGCTGGCACGCGCACGGTTGCTCCAGACGCGGCGGCCAGAACGGAGTCTGGTGGGCTTGTTTCACCACCACCACCACCACAAGTAGGAGGTGGAGGGGGTCCTTTTCCTCCTCTTCTTCCTCCCCCTATTCCTCCCCCCCCTCCTCCTCCTCCTCCTCCTCCTCCTCCTCCTCCTCCTTCTCCTCGTCCTACTCCTCCTCCTCCTCCACCTCCTCCTCCTCCTCCTCCTCTTCGTCCTACTCCTCGTCCTCCACCTCCTCCTCCTCCTCCTCCTCTTCGTCCTACCCCTCGTCCTCCTCCTCCTCCTCCTCCTCCTCCAACTTCTGGTGATGGTGGGAGGATCACTGGCCTTTGAGCATCCGGTGGCGGCGCGCAGGAGGGGAGGCGGAGAGAGGGACCAGGGGCGCAGCAGGCCGTGGCGAGTGTGCTGGGCCCCCCTGGGCGGCGCGCAGAGGGGGGGGAGGAGGAGGAGGAGGAGGAGGAGGAGGAGGAGGAGGAGGAGGAGGAGGAGGAGGAGGAGGAGGAGGAAGAAGGAGGAGGAGGAGGAGGCGGAGGAGGAGGGGGAGGAGGACGAGGAGGAGGAGGAGGAGGAGGAGGAGGAGGAGGGGGAGGCAGGGGCGAAGGCTTCTCAGAAGGAGACGGTTTCTTAGAAGACGCCGGCCTGGCATCTGTGGGCAAGGCCCGCGCCTGCTGAGAAGGAGGGGTGCTTCTAAGAGGCCCTCCTCCCCACCCCCAGCCCCCTCTGCGCATGGCTGACCTCTGTCGGGGATCTACTGACCCGGGTCAAAATGCAAACACGGCCCAGTCGAGCTTTGCAGGATCCTGCGCGCAAGCCCTGGTCAGCGCAGCCCTGGCTTCGCGGGATCCTGCAAGCTCTGGCGCTCTGGCTGACCCCCATCTGCATTCGCCCCCGTCTCCAGGCGCCCGACCGTTGCTGACATCCCCACCCTCCCGGGGCAGCTCCCGACCACGATCACCTGCTCGCCGCCCAGAGGGTGCTGCGCCAGCCGGTGCGGCGACGCCGCCACCACGGCCACCGCGGGCACGCCCTCGGGTAATTAGGACGGTGACGAGGACGAGGAAGACGAGGACTACAAGGACGAGAAGGACGACGACATCGACGACGACAGAGATAACGACGCCGACGACGACGATGACTACGACGACGCCGTCGGCAAGGGGGTGGGAGGGGGGGGGGCGCGAGCTGACAAGGTGGGCAAGAGGCGAAACGGGAGGTGCGGGAGAGAGGCGGGGGTATGGCGAGAAGGGGAAGAAGGGAGTGGCTGAAGGGGGGGGCGGCGGGACGGTGCGGCCGGCGCGCTCTGACGGCCTGGCCTGGGGCGGCCCATGAGCGGAAGGGGCTGGCGGCGCGGCGCCTCGAAAGCTCACGCATGAACGACGAAAAGAACCACGTGTTACTCACGATGGCATAGCGCCTTTACGCGTGGGCTTACGCATGCCGCCAGCGCTGCACGCTTCATTGGAAACGAAGGCGCCGACGCGCACCTTCCACGGGAAGCCTACGCGCCGCTGTCGGCGCAGTGAACCCAGAATTCTTCCCACGCGCAAGTGACAGTCGCCATCGCAGAAGGGAGGCAGGAGAGAAGCGCAGAGATGGGGGGCAGGAACTTCTGGGGGCCTCCGGGCAGTGGTCCGAAAGCTGTCAGAATCCACGGTCCTCGAGGGGGAGGAGGAGGAGGAGGAGGAGGAGGAGGAGGAGGTGGAGGAGGAGGAGGAGGAGGAGGAGGAGGGAGGGGAGGAGGAGGAGGAGGAGGAGGAGGAGGAGGAGGAGAGGAGGAGGAGGAGGAGGAGGAGGAGGAGAAGGAGGAGGAGGAGGAGGAGGAGGAGGAGGAGGGAGGAGGAGGAGGAGGAGGAGGAGAAGGAGGAGGAGGAGGAGGAGGAGGAGGAGGAGGAGGAGGAGGATTTCTGTGGATTTATCTCGGGACGCAGTCCCGTCCAGGCCCAGGGTTTGGTGCCCAAGCCTCGCTCGCCGCGCGGACTCGCGGCGGCCGCGCCGCGCGGACCCGCGGCCTGTCTTTGCCCCCTTTGGGCCTCCAGACCTTTTGTCTGTTTTGCGACTGGCAGCCCCCTTCTGGGCCCCAGGCCTTCTCCTTTTTGCGTTTGGCAGCCCCTTTGGCCCCCAGACCTTCTCTTTCTTTGCGACTGGCAGCCCCCTACTGGGCCGCAGACTTTCTCTTCCTCGCGACTGGTAGCCCCTTTTGGCCCCAGACCTTCTCTCTTCTTGCCCGCGCTCAGAACCTGCGTCGGCAGCGGCCCCGGCGCAGCCGAGGGGATCATCAACCTTGTTTCGGCCCCAAACGGGGAGATGATGATCCTCTCCCGTTTCTGGGCGTTGGACTCTCCTTCTGGGCTCTCCGACCTTCTGCTGTCCGTCAACCGCCCATTTCCATGGATTCGGCCAGGACCATCCACCCCTCTTCCGTGTCGGACTACGCACAGGCTGTGCGTGGCCCCTCTTCTTGTCCACGTGCTGCTGTGGTGCCAATTCCTTTTTTCCACTTGGTTCTGGTAGGGTTTCAGCTTGTGCCCACTGCCTCTCGAAGCCTTCCTGTCGCATGCTGCTTGTAGCTTCTGGTTGATCCTCGGGTTGCCGCCCGCCTCAGGCCTCGCAACGCTTGCCGCGCAGTACCAGCAGAACAATATGTTCGCCCCCGTTGCGTGTGTCTCATGTCATGTGTGGGGTTTGTAGCCGTCGTCCCTGCCAATATCTGATGCCGTAGGAATATAGCTCCTTCCGATGTCTGTTGACATTTCTTCTTAAGCCATTATTTCGGGACCTTCTTGCTGTGGCCATAGTTCGCACATGACTTGGGACAGAATCAGCATGTCCATCTGCGATGTTCCCAGGTAGTATTGCGCATGGTGCTCGCAATCAGCTGCTCCATGTCTTCTGCGTCGTTCCTTCGTATGCACTGTGCTTCTGTTGTTTTCTGGGCACTGCGCTACTGCTTCTCGTCCAAGGTCATGGAAGGGTCGCTCGCAATGGCTTGCGCCGTTGCCCTGCAAATTCTTCTTCTGATCAAATGCCCCACCGCGTTTTCCCAGTCGCAGTAGTCCTGCTCGCTCTTGGGGATGTCGTGCTGCTCCGCTGCGCCACCTGCCAGTTCGCATGCTCGTCGATTGCCCTCCCATGCAGCTCTTGGATATGTATTGAGCCGTGCTTCCTCCCAGTCCACGTGGCTTTCGGTGTGTTTGACGTTGATGCGTGCTTTGCCTCGGCTGTCAATGACCTTCCCCAGCTTTCTCCAGGTGTCGCCGTTCGTCCCTATGAGCGCCTTGTTACGGTGATTCAGATTCCTCCATCCTCGGCAAAGTAGGTCGGAGTCTGCCCAGCAAGTCGCGCCCCCCGTAGAGTGCGCCATGGCGTCGATCATCGCGTACAGCTCCGCTCTGTCGTTGGTTTGCCTCGGCCCTGGGAGTGGCCGGCGCCTTCCGCCCAGGGCGGCGACGTTGTGCTCGTGCATTGCAGCCCAGCCCCATCCGCATAAGCTGTACCTTTGTCTGCCGCATATTTTCCCCCGCTGCCGTCACCGCATATGCAGTGTGAATGTTCGCCCACTCCCTGGAGCTTGATCGCGTCCTCCGCCTCGTAACTCGGCGGCAGCTGTAGGTCGCCCTCCGTCGCGCATTCTGTTGGCGCTGTCCAGCTCGCAGGAGGCATGCCTCGTAGCCATAGCGCTGGTAAAACTGCAGCGCCTCCTACGGCGTGCTTTGCCAGGTGCTCTGTGGCCGCGTAGTCCTTGTGATCGGCCTTCTGGCTTTACGTTCCCCATATCCTGTGCTAATCCGTATCAAACAATCCGCGCTTGCATAAGACGTCTGCACCGAAAGCTGCCGCTCGTCGGGCTCCTGCCCAAGCACCTCCGCATGCCGCAACCAGCAAGGCCCCATAATCCTAATACTTGCCGCCCTTCTTCAACCTGCTGGTCTGCTTTCTGACGCCCGTGAAGTCTGCTCCTTGCCCTAGCCCTGCACCGTTCGGGTGTCGAGCTGCTTTCTCCAAGATATTGCGCTCTACATCCTTCATCATAGGTCGGGTCCTCCCCATAGCCGTCGCCGTGCCCATTGGTCACCAGTGCTGCCCGTCCACCTCGCAGGCGATGCCGGGCCCCACCCTAGCTCGTCAGTTGCAGGATCAGGCTCCCGATGATGCCTCTCCTGTTCTTCCACCCTCCCCTTCTGGTGCATTGCTGCATTCTTCGTTTGTTGATTGGCCATGGTCTGTGGACTGACTCGCGCACTTCAGGGTGTCGCGCCCATGGGTCGAACCATGCTGTGAGCTGGGCTCGCGGCGCTGTCCGCGCTGGACCGCTGCCCTCAAGTGCGAGCAGCGTGCTCAAACATCTCCCCGTCCAGGATCTCCGTTAGTGCCTGACCGTGCTGTCTCCAAATGTTCTTCAGCCCCGATGGTGAGGTCCTCTATGCCTCTTGCATCCGTAGAGCATTGGCGCCATGGCTCCATGCTCTACTATGCCATTGATACGCGTGGTGTTCAACGGCCCCAGCTTGCGGACGACCATGTTGAGGCGTCCACCTGCCTATCTCGCCCTCGCACGGTGCGTCTTCCTTGCGGCGGTTAGGCGCGCTCCTCTGTCAAGCCCTAGGTCGCGCCATTCTTTGACTGGCTTAACTTTGATTTTCCTCTCGGCGAGCTTCGCGGCGACGTTGGCTGAGCTCTTCGCCGCAGGGCCGAACGCCACCGACTTATCTGCCACCCACCTTCAGGTTGCTTATTTCCAGCTGCTCCTGTAGCGGGGCGACGTGCATGACGATGTCCTTTTTCCGTCGATGCCGCGCCCCCCGTCGGTCTCGGGCTGGAGTCGTCGAACCAGGTCCGCGGGTTGCGATGTGCACCAGGGCCCTCGCCAAGCTGTTGCTGCGGCGCGAGCCTGCAAGTGGGGGCTCGATGGCCAGCGCGCGCTCGCTGTATCAGCCCTGTTGTCTGAGCATTCGCGGCGCAATGTGCCGGGGCATCTCCGCGGCCAGGATCCGCGGTGGGAAGTTGTAGTGCCGGGCTGCCTTCGCCGCGAAGCCGAACCCGACGCTGTCGTAGAATCTCTCGACGTCGATGAGCGCATCCGCTGCGGTCGCCCCCAGCGCGTCCGCGGCCTCGTCGCCGACGCCCCCTCAAACAGCTCTGCCCAGGCGCCGCAGCGCCCCGAGGCATCTTGACCTGCATTGCCCATTCCCACGCGCGTTCACGGTTGAGTAGCCCCCAACAGCGCCCGAACCAACTGGGCCGGGCCAGTGCTCCGCCCCCGCCCGCGCTGACCGCGCGGTGGCCAGGCTGGCTGCCACCTTTCGGCCCCAGCAAAATGATCGCCTCCAGTACCTGCCATGGCCAAACGATCGCCCCCCCACATTCATGGCGCACGCGCGCGAAGCTGGATCTGCCCTGTGGCGGGAGCCCCTCGAGTCCGACATGCGCATCTGGCATGCCCCCTTGCCCTTGTCGGGTGATCCATGCATGGCCTGGCCCCTCTCCTCCAGCGCCCATCTCGGCGCGGGCGTCGCGGCCGCTGCCCGTCGCAGGTCACGGAGGAGCGCGATGCCCAGATGTACCCGAAGATCTCCAGCTTGGCGATAAGCTCGCCCGCTGGCGCAGCTGGCGCAGCACTTCCTGCGCGCGCCGCTTGTTGTCTTTCGTGATGGCGCGCGCCTTTCCCGGTGACTCCTCAGCCGTCTCCGCGAGCCACTTGATGTATGCATTCCTGCCATTTGCAATGGCCGCATTGATTGTTCTGCGCGCGTGCTGCTCAGCCTGCGCGCGCATGCCTTCTATGATGTACACCTCTTGCTTGTCGGTGGCGAACAGTCTCGTGTTCCATGCATTCCTGTGAAACCTTGCCGTTGGCGAGGTGCTGTGTCTCAGAGGCGGCAGTCCTTCGACTGCGAGAAGTCTGCGTGTCTTGGCTGCGTTGTCTTGCGTATATATGCCTCTGCCTCTCTTCTTGAGCTGCTCCATGATGTTCAGCGTCTTCGCCGTCTGTTCCACCGATCAGCTCGGTGGTCTGCGTGCCTGGCATAT